AGGATCTTTTTTATTGTCATACCAGCTCAACATTTGCTGTTTATGATAAGAAATTAAACCTCAGGTCCCAGACCAAGAAGCCTAACAATTAACAAATAAACGAATTCAAGTTCAAGTAGGTTTTATTACCATTTGCATCACATGCGGCACATGAGGTGGAACAAAATTGTGTACACAGGGTTCAACTTTTAGACAATTCATAAAACATTCAGCTAGTTTGTATCGCTTACCAGTAATTTGTCTCTAATGAATGGTTATGCACCACAGAGCCTTAAGATTGCTGTAATTAAACCTTTACTTAAGAAACGTAACCTTGATTCAGGCATCCTGGCCAATTATAGATCTATATCTAATTAACTTTCATCTAAAAAAAAAATCTAGAGATTCACCTTTTCCCACCCACACTTTTTTAATGTTGGTCTCGGGGGTCGAACGGGCGACTTTCTGGTTACAGGCTTGCCTTCTCTAACCTCTGCGCCACTCTTCCTTCTTGCAGCTTCAGCTTTCAAATTTATAGCTATTGATGAATTTTGAGTAAACTCTAGCTTTTTAAGCAGCTTTCAGCAAAGTCATTCAGCAACCACACTGCATTTTCACAGGAATGCATTTTCTTTAGTTATTGGATATTTCCATTGTAATGAATCGTCTATTTAAGAGAACTGTGACTGAACTGACTTGCAGTGATAATGTACTTAAGGCGTGCAAACTAAATCCACTACTCTTGTCTGTTCTCCGTGTTTTGCAAGGAAATAAATTGTCTACAAAATAGCAGAAATGCCCAAAAAGAAAACTGGAGCCAGAAAAAAAGCGGAGAGCCGCAAAGAGCGAGAGAAACTGAGCCGAGCTAATCGGGAGCTGGTGGACGTGGCCAAGCATCCCTGTAACTTCAACATGGTACGGAGACGCCACCACAGATTTACCGATGACGCTGTGCAACCACAGTTAACCATTCGTTGTGTTTTTGCAGGATTGTGACAAATGTCAGAGGTGAGTAGTAACGCTGATCCAACAGTTCTTTAATAGTTAAACAAACGAACTTGACATGTGTTTCTGCTTTTATGTCTCATTAGAAAACAGAAGAACAGAGCATTCTGCTACTTTTGTAACTCGGTGCAGAAGCTGCCTATCTGTGCTCAGTGTGGTGAGTGCCCCGTTGTGACTTGAACTGTCTTTATCCAAAGGTTTTTAGATAATTAACCTCTGCTGTTCCTTTCAATTATTCTCAAATCCCTTTTATCATGACACAAAACTCGGTTCTTTTAAATAGTAAAAAAACCCAAACAATTCATGATTGTACAGTGCATTCAAAAGGTTTTTAGATCTTTTTAAATTTTCAAACATTAGTCTTATTAGACTATTACATTAATAGTCCCAATCAAACCCGGCTGAATGAGTGCCGTCACATTTTCAGCTCCGTACTGCTGATCTGTTCAGGACTTGTGTACAGCTTCGAGATAAAAGCTTTAAGTCACTACCGGTGCTTTGTTAAAAACTTGAGCTCTTTCTTCAGTTGATTCCTGGTCACTCAGGAAAAGGTTCTAAAAAAAAATTTATCCACTTCTGTCTTTTCAGGCTAGCGTCTATTCTCAATGGTAGAAAACAAACAAAAAACTGAAATACGAGGGTAGTAATAAGATGATGCTTAATATTTTGTTCCCTTCAAACATTTTTTTTTTACATTAAGTCTTAAAACTGTAAATTCACAATTATGGCACTCTAATAACCCTCTATTATTCATCACTTAAATCTTTAACTTTTCTTTCATGGTAATAACCTTTCAGCGTTTCCCTCTTCAGGGGTCGCCACAGCGAGTCATCGTCCTCCGTCTCTCCCTGTCCTCACTCCAACCACCTCT